GTAAGAAACACTGAAAAGTAGAGTGTGCAATGTGAAAGGTACGCACACATCCACACAATGTGAAGCACTGAACGGGAACAGGTTTCTCGTCCCCAATTTGCTGGGCACTGGGTTTTGCACTTAGAACAATGTCTCAACTGCCTCCTTACAGGAGTCTGCAACTCTTCCAGACATGGGGCATTGCTAAGAGCAAACCAAAGAAGTTCCACCTACAACTACCTTTTAGGAAGGGCAGCCAGGTTTCAATTGTGCAGAGCACGGGGGTGGGGGGGTAGGGGGGTGCTGGGGCGGGAATGAAGTCTGCTGGTAGGGCCTGCGGGAGAGGTGGATTCCTCTGGGTCATAGAGGGGGAAGAATTTGGAATTCTGGGAGAGAACGTGATGGGGAGGGCATGAAGAAGGAGAGTCAGTCAGTCCCTGGTACAAAGGAAGAAGGAGTAATAAGTGATTGGAAATGGGACAGCAAAGACTTTCAGAACATTTTCTATTCAGTTTACATTTATTCAGTTTGCAGTTCACTGGTGGTGCTAGGTACCCTCAAGTGGGCATGGGAAGAGCAGGGCAGAACAATAAAAAAGGACTCCAGCATCTTGTCTCCTTCTCTGTCCTCCCACTCTGTGAAAGGCTGGAAACCTGGGCTTCCTTCCCCTTCCTCCATGGCTCCCTGTCCACCCCCTTCAGCCAGGCAGCCTCTGGATTTCACCTCTGCCTCTGCTTTCAAATCCATTCCCTTCTCTCCACCCCTCCTTTCCTCATCATCTCTACGTCTAGACCGTTGTTTTTTGTTGGTTCTTTTTGGTTCACTACTGGCTGCCAAATATAAACAAGACCCTGTCCCTCCCCTGCTGCAAGCCTTTCAGTCTTTATTTTGAGGGAAGCAGAATGAAATCTGAGCTTCCCACTGCTCAGCATGGCCAAAGACACTTGCCATGGGTACCTGCTTACTTAAACTGCCTCAGTACTCTCCCCACCTCCTGTGCCCTGCCTGGCAGACACCCTACAGTTCCAAGGACTCCCTGTGCCGTCCTTTACCTCTCCACTCTGGGCTCATTCCCCAGCTTAGAACAGGGTGTGACCCACCAGGGACCTTAGGGCCTGGCAGTTCTCCATTTGTACGGCTTGTACACAGGAGGTATGTGTGGGCAGCAGTCTGGTTGTCTTGAAGTTGCATTTGCATAGCAAGCATTCTGTTTTTATTTAGATATGCAAAATTAATAAGAATAGCAAAACTTTCCACAGATGCATAATTTGCAAATTCACACTTGAAATAAAATTGAGAACATGTCAACTGTCCACAACAAAAATTGGAAATGTTTTTATTCTGATGCCTTGGAGGAGAGACATGGAAACAACTGGTGGAAGATGTGGAAGTGACTCTTTTCCTTTCTCCTAACCCTCCCCCTCAAACCCACTGCTTGATTCTGTCATGGCCACAGGGTCCTCTGAATGAGCCTTGAACACAAGAAAGTCAATCTTCAATTCTCTTATCAAAAAAGTACTCAATTCTATATACTTTTATTTTTTGTGTAAAAATAAAGGGTAATTTACAAGCAATTTCTTAAATTATTAATAACTATTAAAACTTGATGTTCTTGAACTGAAATTAGCAGGTTCCTAGACTTTGCTGAGGACTCCAAATAATATTCTGCCAGGAAGTCTAGACACTACTCCTGGCCATCTTGCTGACATCACACACCTCTTGGCAGAGTGGACTCCACAAGTCAAGGAGAAAAAAGCTGCTGCTCTCGACAGATGTGATCTTGAGTGAGTTTGGCATTCAGCTATTGTGGTGTATGTTTTTAAAAAGAACAAATTTTATTACAATTCTTCTATGTGCAGGAGTAAGAAGAGATTCAAAGACAGGCAAGATGGCTGAACCTTATGAGAGTCTCATAAAGGGAGAGGGGCTTGCTCAAGTGAAAGAGTGCCTGCTTGGACTTCTGGGGGAGGGCGGGAGGCACTGGGAGACTCCAGGGACAGATGTGCACGGTGAACAAGGGTGTCTGGCTGATATTTAATTATATATTGGGACTGGTTTAGCTTCTTTGTTAATTAAATTTATTATGTGGCATCTATGATGTATGCACATGCTAACACCAACAGTATTTTAAACCAATAATTTTAATAAGCTGATATGTGTATATTGTTCATTTAATGAACATTGCATGCATTATATCTGTTGCTAAAGAAGATATATAAACACATTTGCATATTTATGTATTTATGACACTTGGTGGATGATGTTTATTGGTGAATTTGTGTGTTTTTTGTGATGCTGGGGATTGAACCCAGGACCTTGCACATGCTAGGCAAGCACCCTACCACTGATCTATATCCCCGGCCCACATATTATTTTTTTAGATAACATGCAATATCTTATTAAAGTGAATAATAAAATAACCAAGATGCTTGTAAGCTCATTTACATTGTTTTATTGTATAGGATTATAAATTGCTTTTTAGTATAAAATGTGGATAAGTTCACAGACCTCTGTACTTAAGGGACAGGTTTGCAGTTACTCATTTGAGAATTCTTTGATTATATTCTCATTTTGTATTCCATTCTTTGCATCATGTTCTAATGATGGCATCATAGTTCCATGATATTCCATCATGCTATATTAAGAGATGCTGGATCTGAATGAAAATCCTACAGAACTGAGAAGGCAAGGGTAAGCTGGACAGGCTCCCGCTGAGTTGAGTCAAGCTGTTCCATGTGCCTCTGGGGTGAGGGGAGCCTGCCATGACAGCTCTCAGATTCATCGTGAGTCTGATTGTTTTTCCTTACAGGACTTGACTCTCTCATACCTGCTCATCCATCATAGTTTACTGTCTGCCTGGCATATTTGTCTGTCCACAGTTAGAAACTAGATCCATTTGCTAGCAAAAAGTGAAAAATAATAAAATCTTATTCTGACAAATTGTGGTGAAACTGATCCTCCTACAGCAGTAAATATGTACTACAATCTTCCTCCTCCTCCCCTTTCTTCTAATTTTGGCAGGTGGTGGGCGGGGATAGGGGGTAGTTTGAAACAGGGTATCACTATGTAGCCTAGGCTGGCCTCAAACTTGCTATGTAGCCCAGGTTGGCCACCAACTCAAAAAACAATCCTCTTGCCTCTGCCTCTGAAATGCTGGGATTACAGGAGTGTGACACCATACCTGACTAAAAAAAAACTTTTTGGATACAAATGATAATAGATTTAAAAAATGCTCATATCTTTTGATTCACTATTTCTAGAAATCTAGCCTGAAAAGCAATCCAGAGAAAATAAAACTTAATTGCATAAAAATGCACACCTCAGTGTAGATACATAGGGAGCGATTTAGAAGTCAAATAGTGGAGGATTGGGAGTAAATTACAGAATTACTTGATGGGAAGGGATGCAGCAATAAAGTAATAATTAAGGAGAAAGCATCAGACGAGAATTATGTTGAGGACACTTGTTTTGTTTTAAATAGGAGTAGAATACAAAATTGCACCTATATTGTAGCCACATGTTCACATGACATTACCAGAAAATGTGGCTGGACACAACTGGAAGAAAACATGGAAAAACGATTTTCATTTTAGTGTGCAAGAGTAGGTTCCCTCTCTACTACCTAACCTTGTTCTTAGGCACAAAATAAACACATTTTGAAAATTTTGGGCATCACTTCTGAGAAGGCTTTTGGTCCCTGCTCCAAATAGACCAATCTTCTTATGTTTCTTAGATGTTCTGTGTGAGTGTTTGCCCTTAGCAGAGCCTTCCAGAGCCGTGGATTATTCAGCTCTTCTAAAATTCTTCCTGCCATCCAATCAAACTGCCTCTTGTGTTGCTTGCTTTTGTTTGGTTGGATCTAAGAATGTAGAGGAAAACTGAAACCCTGTCACTCAATGGTTCTTTGACTGGTGGAGTGGACCAGGCATACCTGGGCCATGAATACAGCTGTGTCGTTTGTATTTCTGTTTCTTGAATGTGTTTCTATCAAAACACAACGTGCAAAAACCTCAAAATAACCTGTACATAGGAGAAAAAAGACTGCATGGCAATGCACTAAACTCTTCACAGTGGTTCATACAGGTGTGGGATTTGGGCTCATTGTTCTCTCTGCAGTTTTCAGATGAAAAAAATTCTAAAAAAAATTTAAAAAGAAGCCTCCCAGCCTGTGTTCTCCAGGCTCAACAATGCTCACTTTTTTTTTTAAAATTAGCAGTCTTGCTATGATGCTTAGGCTGGCCTTGAACTCCTCCTGCCCCAGCCTTCTGACTACTGGGACTACAGGGGCATGGTCACTGTGCCTGGCAGTGATACCCACTTTTGATTCTTCCTGTCACAATGGGGCAAAGGAAAGAAGTGGTTTGGGAACAAGTACAGAAGACAGTGGAATTTGAACAACAAATGCAACCCAGGTCTCCTCCTTAATTAATTTTCCAGAGGGGAAGAGCAGATGGCTCAATCAAGATCTCACTGCAGCATAGCATACCTTGACCCTGAGGCTCCTGAAGGCAGAGTGCCTTACAAATCAACACTGGAAATGCAATGTGAAGATACCCAGACTGGTGATGCTCCAGGTGCTTCATCCAAGAGCCCCAGGATGTATCCTAACATTCATCTTGTCCATGCTTCACCCCACTCTCCAGCACAGTACCATGAGGGTCCTGCCACATATCAGGTACCAAATCTCACCATCAGAATCCAGACAGTGATAAGAAGCCCTTACTTCACACCCATTTCCTACATCATTTCACCCTGAGAGGTAGAATTCAGGATCCCTGACATACACACCAGGACACAGAAGCCCAGAGGGGTGAAGTGATGCCTGGGGTTGCCCAGCCAGGGATGGGCAGAGCAGATTCCTTAATGCTAGTGTTTCTTCTCCACTCCCACCCAGTGCTGGGACTATGGCATCAGGCTACAATCTCCTATGGTTGCTTATGTGGACACACGACCTGATGCCACTGGCAATGCCTGTAGTGAAGAGAGCAGAAAATGGACCCCAGGAAAGTCAAGGTACTTACCTGGATCACCAGGCTATCCAGATGTGAGCAGCTAAGGAGACAGCAAGGGACTGAGTGCTGTGCTCAAGCAGCTAGTGACAGGGAGTGCCCTCTCAGCCCACACAAACCTCACCCAACGCTACAGGCAGTGAGCACCAGCCTGACCTCACTTCCTCTTTCTGTCTGCCCATGGAGGAGAGACCTGGGTACCATCACCAGGCAACAATTGCCCTTTACAGAGAAACTGACTACCCCAAACTTTCCAGAAGTGAGAATATTCTCAATGCCTTTTGTTGTTCCCACCATGCCCACCAAAGAGACATCATGGCATGGGAGGGTTTTGGGGGGCAAGTTTCAGGCTCTGGGGTGGGTAGAGACCTGGCAGTGTGAGCTGGGGAGCTGTCCCCACAGTGGAGTCTTACTGACCATTCCTGGACATGGCAACCTGGAGCTCAAGAGCAGAGACAGGACTCTGAGTTCACCCAGAGACACAACTGGGCAAGAGACTAGCTCATGTGTGACAGACACCATCTGTCTGCTGACTCAGCTTCTGCTTCAGCGAGGCAAGGGAAAGGCTTCCTGTTTCCCAGGGTGTGTGATGGGTTACATTAAGAAATGGATCCATGGGTCATTTTCTACAATGCTGTGACATGGAATGACTCAGTGACTGAAAGTGAAAGCTTGGGGTGGGGAAACCAAGTGACCATGTTGTGGAATTGGTTGCTTCTGACCAAAGGAGCATTGGGTCTGCCTGGCACCAATGAGTTGTTACTGCTCTCAGTAATAACAGTGATAACCTGGAGTGTCTTGCAATTGTTTTACAAGCTGCTCAGAAGATTCCTGATGTGGAGTATTTGCTAATTTCCATGGTGTGAACCCTCTCAGCATGGGCAGTTTCAAGATGCCCATATGATGTCAATGGACATGGATTTGGGAGGAAATGAGCACGATCAGTTGGCTCTCACTGCTCTTTCTGAGTTGACACATTTCATGATTGAGCAGCTTTTGGGAACTAAGGTTTGGAACAGTGTTTTACATGCCTTATCTCACCTAATCTTCACTTACCTGGATGATTATTATCTCCATTTTACTGGCGCGAACACCAAAGCTCAGGGAGGTCACATCACTAAATCAACTTTGTACAGCCAGAGAGGTGATTTTAAACCCAGGTCTGTTCATTTGCAAAGACTGTGCTCTGTCTTATTAGACCCATGCAAAGGTTAGCTGCTCAAAAACCTTCCTAAAAGTAAATTTAGTATTATTTTCTAAGAAGTGAATAAATGCTTCTGTGGATAGATCTCACCCTAGGCTAACCAAAACTGTGATCCTTAGTTTCTGTTTTATTCATTCATTCAATAAATTATTTTGCTAATCCTTTGTGATGCCCAACTCAGCTGTGATACAGTAAAACCTATGGACCTACTGTTTCCAACAATACACAGCTAGTTCAAGTCCAAGGTGTCAGAAGAGCAGAATCCTATACCCAGTTTGTAGACAATTTCCATGTGAACTCCTCCCTTCTCTTAACCTTAGCATCCTTGTTTGTAAATGAATGTGTTCAACTGGTAAACATTAAGGTGTTCTAGGAATTCTCTCTTCTGTTTCCCCTCGAGCTTTGAGTATAATTGACAAAAATCACATGTATTTTAACAATGTGATGATTTGATAAATATGTACATTGTGAAATGATGCCCACAATCAAGTCAATTAATACACCCATCACCTCACATGTATGTCTTTGTGTGTGTGTGCAAGAGAGAGAATACTTGAGGTAGATTCTGAGCAAATTTCAAGCATACCATACTGTATATACATAGAACTCCAGAATTTATTGATCCTATAGCTGAAAGTTTATACACTGTGACAACACTTCTCCATTTTCCCCACCTTTAGCCCTGGGAACCAACCATTCTACTCAATGTTTCTATGAGTTCCACCACTGTTGTTAGATCTCACGTGTAAGTGAGATCATACAGTGTTTCTCTTTCTTTGTCTGGCTGTGCACTTAAGCATAAAATCCTCTGGGTTCATACATGTTGTCAGAAATGGGTCGGAGCCTCTTGGGCTCCTGTAGAGATGGCCTCAGTTCCCACCTCTCCCCCTGAATGTCTACCAGAGCCCTCATCCTGGCTGGCACTGAAGCTGGACCATTCAGGAGTGGGGCAGGGCCCAGGGCTGCTGCTGCTGCTGGGAAGTCCTCGCCTGCGGATCCAACCTCAATATTTTTCTGACATCCTAGTAAGAGCAGACCCTGCACAAAATGGATTTCAGAGTCAATACTATGAGGAGACTAATAATGAGAACAGTTTTACCAAGCATAATGAAATATCACAGACTGTCTGCATTTTACCATTGATTGCAGTGCATCCTTAAAAAACTGAATGTAACAAAAATCCAGGACATTTTTAGAAATTGTATGCTCTCTAACAACCTTGTATAAATTTTTATATAAACACTGTTTTATGAGTTATATAAAATGTAATAAAAAAATTTTTAAAATGTGTCAGAGGTAGAGTGCTTACCTAGCATGCACAAAGTCTTGGGTTTAATCTCTAGCACCATAAAAAAAGGGCAGAATGTCCTTTTAAAATGATCAATACAGCCATAAAGAAGAATGAAATGTTATCGTTTGCTGGTAAATGGATGGAATTGGAGAACATCATTCTGAGTGAGGTTAGCCTGATCCAAAAGACAAAAAATCGTATGTTCTCCCTCATATGTGGACATTAGATCAAGGGCAAACACAACAAGGGGATTGGACTTTGATCACAAAGTCCTTGTGTGCAAGAGCACACAGTGGAGATATGAGGATAGGTAAGACACCTAAAAAACTAGCTAGCATTTGTTGCCCTTAACGCAGAGAAACTAAAGCAGATACCTTAAAGCAACTGAGGCCAATAGGAGAAGGGGACCAGGAACTAGAGAAAAGGTTAGATTAAGAAGAATTAACCTAGAAGGTAACACACACGCACAGGAAATCAATGTGAGTCAACTCCCTGTATAGCTATCTTTATCTCAACTAGCAAAAACCCTTGTTCCTTCCTATTATCGCTTATACTCTCTCTACAACAAAATTAGAGATAAGGGCAAAATAGTTTCTGCCGGGTAGCGAGGGGAGGGGGGGGAGAGGGAAGTGGGGGGCTAGGGAAAGGGTGGGGGAAGGGATGGGGGAAGGGGGGAGAAATGACCCAAACATTGTATGCACATATGAATAAAAAAAAATCAATAGTATTACATTATGTCTATAGCATTTTCTTTATCTACCCATCTACTGATGAACACTTAGGATGCTAACATTTCTTGACTATTATGTATAATGTTATAATGAATATGAGGGTGGAATCTCTTTTTTCATCCCATCACTTTCAGCTTATACTGGCCCTCCAGGACAGAAAATAGTTGGGTCTTGCTGTTTTGTTTTGTTTTTAATGCATTTAGCCATTCTTTTTTTGTTTGTTTTGTTTTGTGCTACTGGGGATTGAACTCTGAGCCTCATGATTGCTATCTACCACTTGAACCACTCAGCCAGCCCCCATCTATTCGTTTGATTGAAGAATTTAGTCCATTTATTTTTAAAGTAATTATTGATGAGTAAGGATTTATTATTGTCATTGTATTGTTTTCTGTTTTGTTGCCCCTTTTTTTCCTTTCTCCCTCTCTTATTATTTTCCTTTTGTTGTTTTATTTATTTTTTATTTTGAGGCATTGTCTCACTATGTAGCCCAGTCTGGATTCAAACTCAAGATCCTTCTGCTTTAGTCTCCTGAGTGCTTGGATTATAGACATGACCACCATGCCCAGTTTCCTTTGTGAGTTGATGATTTTCTACAATAATACATTTTAATTACTTTTTCTTTCTTTTGTCTATCTTCTGTAGATTTTTGTTTGTGATTAACAGGGGGCTTACATAAAACATAATCAAAATGGTATATTCTAGACTAGTAACTTAACTTCAGTCAACACTCCTCTTTCTTTTCTTTTTTTTTTTTTTGGTGCCAGGGATTGAACCCAGGGCCTCATGCTTGCTAAATATGTACTCTACCACTGAATTAAATTCCCAATCCCTAAAAATGCTACACTTTTATCCACACCCCCTTTATGTTTTTGATGTGACAATTAACTTATTTTTATATCAGGTGTCCATTATCAAGTGATTATAGCTATAATTTTTTTTTTTTTATTTTTTGGTGGCACTGGGGTTTGAATTCAGGACCTTGCCCTTGCTAGGCAGATGCTCTTCCATTTGAGCCATGACCCCAGCCCTGTAGTTATAATTATCTTTAATACTTTTGTTTTTCAGTCTTCAGACCACAGTAAAAAGTGATTTCCATACCACTATTACAGTATTAGAGCATTCTGAATTTGACTGTATACTTCCTCTACTAGTGAGTCTTATACTTTCATATGTTTTCATCTTACTAATTATCATTCTTTCACTTTACTTTAAAGAACTGCCTTTAGCATATCTTGCAAGGCAGGTCTAGTGGTAACGAACTCCCCTAGCCGTCGCCGTCTGTGAGAGTCTGTCTCTCTGTCACTGCTGTAGCACTGCTTTGCTGGATAACATCTTTTTGGTTGGCAGTTCGTGCATCTCACTTTCCCTTCCTTCATGTACTGTTTTCCTGTTGTTGCTGAGTCATCTACTATTGTTCTCCTGTAGCTTGCTGACCTTCCTTAAAACAATGATTTTTTAAATTCTTTCTCAGAAAATTAATGGATCTCCATTTTTTGGGGGGTCAGTTACTGATGAATTATTTATTTATTTTTGGTAATGTGTCCATGTTGTTTTCAAGTTCCTTGAAGTCTTGCTTTGTTGTCTTTGTATTTGAGGAAGCAGCAACCTCATCTCTTCTAGCTTCATCTTTTTTTTTTTTGGTGGTGGTGGGGGAATGCAGTTTTGGTGTTTCAACTCAGGGCCTTGTTCTTGCTACCAGGTGCTGTGCTATCTGAGCCATGACCTCAGATCTTTTTGCTTTATTTATTTATTTTTTGGTAGGACTGGGGTTTGAACTTAGGGCTTTGCACTTGCCTGCAGTCCATTTTGCTCTGGTTATTTTGGA